GGTAACCCTGACACCTGCTGGAAGCCCCTCCTATAATGGTAAACTGAGGTATCATCGTAAAGATTCCAGGCAAGCCTGCCCCAGGATTTACACCATCTGAGTGGGGACCTTAACACCAACAAGGCTGAGAAGGCCAATGTGTCACCTCCATTCATGGAGCACATGCCTGACCAGTTATGAGCTGAACATGTAAGGAACAAGACATGAGTCCCAGACTTCGCCCTTGGGATGTATTGTTTAAAGTCTGAGGCTCTGATGACGTCATCATGGGCAGCTCTAGAAATGAAGATGACTGTGCCTTTAACTAGGTGGGAAGCAAAGGAGAGCTGGTGTCAGTGAGCACCCCCTGCAGTGGTGAATCCTACCCCCTGTGCCATCCTAACCCTCTCAGAGAAATGGCAGCCATGGGGCCGCCTAAGCAGATGGTTGTAACAAGCCTTCTAGGGATGACGATGCTATTTAGGGCCTGTTGGTTTCAAAGTGGGTCCTCCAAAATGGCAGTACTGGTGACAATGTCCCCAACAGAAGGACTCTGACTCTAAACACAAGTGTTGTTATTGGATACACAGAAGCCTAAATCCATCAGGGTTCTGTTTACCAGCATCTCCCTTAACTCACTCCAAAGGTCAACAACCTCAGGCATCTAGTTCCTGGCCTGTATCCAATCAAAGGCTCCTACTCCATCTATCATAAGATCCACTTCATTTTCTATCATTTGCTTCTCCCCACACACATTGACACAGCCTTAACAGTGTGATCCTCAGTAAGCCTTCCCAACCACTGAGTGGTCTAGTTAGGCAGTTTCACTGACCTTTGCTTACAGGACTCACTAGAGCTAAGATGGGTAGAGTGTCACTCATGAAGGGCAGGAGCTAGGAACTGAAGCCCATAGGGCAGACAGGTGGAGGGCATCAGGACTCTGGACCAGAAGCCACCACCATGCAGACTTTCTCCAAGGACCAAGCTCTGGTGCTTCTACCTATGGGTGGTAGAGTGGTATGGATTTCTCTGGCACAAGGCAGATCATCTAGAGAAGGCCACACTGCTCCTGGATTTACAAATCCAAATGCATGTACAAGCAGGCAGGCCTTGCCTCGCTGCCTGCTCTTACCTTCCTTGGGAGGTCCCTGGTCCCGAGAGAAATGGCTATAGATGCATAAGAAACACAGGGAAGAGTCAGAGGAAATGCCCAACTCTTACTTACTCATCGGAACCTGTCATAATGATGTGAAATTATTCTCCATTCCATTTTACCAAGATCAGTGTAGCAGTGTAAGTGACTCCTAGTGTTTAATTCAAACAAAACTGCTGCTCGTTGAACCACATCTTGATATATGGCATATCACCTGAAGTAAGAAGTGAGTCTTCCAATCATCAGAATCTAACAGCTTTCTTGTGATGTATTCATGGAAATCCTAATTGTCAGTAAAGAATCCAGACAAAGAAACCAGAGAAGGGAGTCTAATTTAGAAAATGCCATTTTAATCCCCTCATTGAAAAGGGTTCTTTCAACCAGATTGTAACAAAATCCACAGCTTATTCCAAAAGAAAAATTTAATACAAGAGATTTTAGAAAATTAAACATATTTGTTTAAAAATTCTATTGTGTAAACCTTAACATAAGAGGGGAGTTGGGATGCCACATGCTCAGACTTTGGGCTGTTTACATCCCAGGCTCCAGACACAGGGCTGCAGCAGCCACAGAGAACTTTCCTAGGGTGGATGGAGATAGCTAACCAGGGCCCTCACTCCCCTGGAGGCCCCAACTCGAAGGTTCTCTTCACAGGTGCTCAGAGGCCCTATGGCTCCTATGTAACCCAATTCTTACTGGACCTTCCCAACCCATTCCACTGATGACCAAAAAACAAATAAACAAACAAACAAGCAAACAAATAAAACCACACCACAACCCAACAAAAAACCTCAGTGTGGTCAAGTGTTCTGGTCTCCCCCTGGCAGGGAGTAGAGCCCAGCAGGTTGTAGGTGGTGGCAGGGACACATGGTGAGCACTGTCTACAAGGAGAGAGAACATGGCCACAGTGAGGAGTGGAGCCAAGCCTTGACCCAGCATCCACTCCAGTCCTGCTTCTGGGCTCTCTACCCGACCCTTTACTTCAGAAGCATAAAGGAGACCATGTGTCACAGAAACAGGGAGCTCAACTTCTTGGCACAGAAATATTAGATAAAATATACATTGCTACAGTTGTGCAAAGCCAGTGCAGAACCAACCTAAACAGTAAACATTTAACTAGCTTTAAGGAAATAATGCACAATATTTTGGATAATGTTCATTACAATAGACCTTGTTCATGAGGAGGCACCTGCCTTCTGGTCATAGTTCCCAGACCAGGGGGAGACTCTTGGTTGGGTGGCATTGTCCCTAGTGGGAATGCTGAGCATCAGGATTTATTACCATGAGCATGAGGCTGCTTCTTCTTGCATGCCTCCCAGTCATTGTAGCAGGGTAGGGCAGGGCATCATGGTGAGACTACTCCTGGCTCGTCCTGGTGGCTTAAGATCTAAGCTTCTCAGACCTCAGCTGGGCACAGCTGGGTGGGTGTATGAAGGTGCAGGCTGCCAAAGAGATGGAGTCTGGCCATGGACCTGGAAGGCCAGGGCCCAGCCTCTACTGAGGGGCCAGTTGTGTTTACACAATAGTTGTGTCTTACATAGACAGATGGAGCTAGAGTAGATGGCACAGGAGACAAAGCCTAGAGCACTGTGTCTTGGGTCTCAGGACATGAGACCTATTCCAAGAATGAAGTTTCAGCAATCACAAGTATGCCATAGTCAGGCTCTGGGTTGAGAAGCAGTCTCCCAAAGAGGTGGGGTTGTGTCAGACCTACTGTTGGCTCTGCATTCCTCTCTAGACTTTGAGCCTCAGATCTGGGGAGCATTGTGGGAACAGCATTCCATCACCTGACCCTGCCCTGCACTGTTCTGTCCAAGTTCCAGGGGGCCTTACATGCTCACATGGTAAAGTAATTAGAAGGGCAACCTGCAGCCAAGAGTTTTGACAGGTTTCTGTGGGAACAGTGTGGGCAGGGCTGGAGTGTGGTTCAGTGGAGAGCTTTGCTCCAGCTCTTGCAAGGCCCCAGTGTCAATCCCCAACGTGGGAAAAAGGAGTTTGTAGGAAGCAAATATCAAGCAACCAAAGGGTCCCACATGGTCCCTGGAACCATGCTCTTATGGCAGAATTGGGCAAGTTTCCCATAATTAATCCCTGAAAACTGAGGCATCTACTTTGGGCACCTTTTTTCCCCCTCTTTTCTTCTTTCTTTCTTTTTCTTTCTTCCTTTCTTTCTTTCTTTCTCTCTTTCTTTCCTTCCTTCTTTCCTTCCTTCCTTCCTTCTTTCCTTCTTCTTCTCCCCCCCCCCCCACTTCTCTCTCTTTCCTACCTTCCTTCCTCTGCTTTAATTGCAGGTGCTGAATGTGAAAGATGGTTCCACATGCCATCTTTGCAGTAACAGAGTCCAGACCAGGTGCCCAGAGGCCTGCTGTTCAGGACTTTGGGCTGTGGGAGATGCAAGAGATGGCAGGACCCTTTCTTTACAGAACATGACAGAATACAAAGCCCCCATGCCAAGTTTCCCAGCTCAGGGGGTGGACTTGGAGCCACTAGGTCATTTTGGCTAGGTCCAGTTGCCCAACCTGGGTATGGTGTTTGTGTGGACTCTGTGGCTTTTAGGCATATGAGAGAGGAACCATGTTGGCTCTCTAGGGCTGAGAAATCTCTTGGGTCATCCCTTACCAGCAAGCGGGACGATGGCTCCCATGCTCCCCCAACTCCTCTCCTGTTGTGAGGGAGGGCAGTGTGCCCTGCTTCATCTGTGCACAGCCCACCTGGCCCAAGGTGCCCTCCAGAATGGGAGCTGTTCAGCCTCTGTCTCCTCATCCTCTGAAGTTTCCTCTGGCTTCTGGGGACTGTCCCCAAGCTATCCTTGGGATAGGAAGACCCCTGCTTCCTCAGAGCACTTGCTGAGGTCTACCTTTGAGCTGAAGCCCTTCTAGGCCATATCCAGGCTGCTTTCCACAGTCACCTCCCCAGGGAGAATACATTGGGAACCCCTTGGCAGGCAGAAACGTGCATACTGCTTGGTACATGGTCCCTTTTGCAAGCTTTTCCAAGCTATCCCAAGACACTAAGGAGGTTCTGACCTAGGGAGGGAGATGGCTGCTGACAGTGCATCCTGAGAAGAGGAGGGACCCAGGCTCAGTGGCAGAGAAAGGCAGAGCTGCCAAGAAGCTGTGTCTGAAACCACTCCATGCCTGACAGCTTTGGACTCTCGGATGGTGCCCTGAGTTGAGAGCAATAGGAGAACAGCATCTTGGGGTACACAGCATCCTGCTCCCACTGAGACACATTAGGGAACAGTTTGTGCTAAACAACTTCAAGAGACAATCACTCTGTTCAGTTCTGGTACTGGGTATGAGACCCTATAGGGCTGGCTTTCCACATTAATACCCAGAGCCAAATCGGTCACAACCACCCATTCTAGTGTCAGGGATGCCCTCCACAGGGTCTCCAGACTGCTGCCCAGGGCTTGGCTGGATGGTGGAACCCCTCAGGTCTCCTACATGGTCTCCGACAGCACAAGGAGGGAAGGATAAGTTCGTCAAGGACCAAAGTCACCGCCAATGCTTTTGTTAGGCCACTACAGAACTATTCCTGGAGAGATGCCACCCACACCAGCCATGTGTCTGTGCTGTTGGGTGTCTATCCGCCACAGGAAAAAGAGAAAGCGGGAGGAGGAGTCCCCATCCACAGGCTGCAGTGGACAGTTGTATTAGGAGGAAATCCAAGAGTGTAACAGTCATTCTAGTTCCCACATGGGAAAGCGTTGTGGGTGGCATCTGAAGGATCCTTCAGCCCATGTGTTGTGCATCTTAACCAAGGGTCCTGGCACCCATCAACCTTCAGGCCATCCTGGGGGTGATGACAATGTCCCCATCTTTGTCCACTGAGCAATGCCTTGCTCTAAGGACCGGGACCCAACCACTAAACCTGACCAGTTTAATTGGATGGCATGTGGCAGCAGGAAGAGTGGGCTCTCTGTGGGAACAGGGTCATCCTGCCAGGGTGTCCAGGGTCAGTTGCCATGGCTAGGTTGAGCACAAAGTGGCTGGGGTCTGGAATTCCCCTGAGGTCAGAGGTCACCGCTCTGGGGCTCCACAGTGCGAATCTCCCTGGCGTGGCCTCGGGACAGCTTAGGGAAGCGGGAAGTGACTTTAGGCCTGCTGTTCTTGTTCAGTGGTTCTCCCGGTGGAGCGATATCCCTACAAGACAGGAGGAGACTCTGTTGAAATAAGAGTTTAAATGCAAATGACACAGGCAGGGACAGGAGTCACATGTGAGACCAGTAGAGGTCAGGCAGAGAGAGGAGAGTATCTGGCCAGCTCCAACTGGTCAGTGTAACTTGAAGAAATAGATATTCATGTTGCTGTGTAAGTTTCCCACTTTTTAAACATTCTGGGAAGGTCCACTAATGCAGTCTGTGTCTGAGTTAGATTTAGGGCACCGTGCAGGAACCTGTTTTGAGGCTGTAAGCCAGCTCACCAGCTAGGCACTCTGCCGTGCTTCCCTTCATCTCCCAGTATAGCCTCATCCCTGAGCCAAAGAGAAAATGCCATCAAAATCCCAGTACCCAGGATTGTAACAGATGTGCAGCCAGATGTTCAATGGGGACCTCTGCTGTTGTTTATCCAAGAGAAGAGTCAAGACATATGTCAGTGTTTGGTGACCAAGGCATGGCTTACAGCCCTATGGGGGGGGGGGCACTGCTGGGTGGCATGGATAGGCTCAGAGCCCAGACTGCAGGTGTGAGCACAGATGTGGTGCTCAATGGATGTTGAGCTCTTAGATGCTCAGTCATAGCTCAGGATGCCCCTGAATTCCCCTTGGAAAGAGGAGTATTTGTGGGATACAATCTCAGAGCTTTTGCTTTTCTTCTTCTTCTTCTTCTTCTTCTTCTTCTTCTTCTTCTTCTTCTTCTTCTTCTTCTTCTCCAGTAGGAGTCATCAAACACCTGCCTACCAGGACAGCCCATAGTAACACAATCTGCATCACCGACTTGAAGAAATGGGCGGCTACCATGCAAGTGGGAGAGGGAGGGCCTAAGAAAAGCATGGGGAAGCCCCTCACAGACTCAACCCTGCTCTGAGTGGATCACAGGCTCTGTCTTCTTCAGCCCCACCTCTGCAACCAGGGACAAGTGTCTTTTTCCAACAAGTTCTGCAGATGACAAGGAGGCAGAGGCCACTGAGGATGTGCACAAGGTGACGACATGTTGAAATGAGGGGAGCAGGTCAAAACAACAGTGGTGCCAGCTCCAACTCTTCCAGGCAGAGGGGTGGCTAAGGAGAGTGAGAAAACCCTGACCAACAGTGAGAAAGGGCTTTATGCGGACAGCAGCCAGGGTACCAAAATAGGCGTGGGAAGGGTGAGAAGGGGACCCACTACAGGAAGAATCTAACACTGCTACAGGTATAGTGGTGTCTGCCTGCCATCCCAGCACCCTACAGTCCAGAATATAACAAGATAATCAAGGCAGAGTCTGGGAAACATGGCTACCTCTCCTAATTCCAGCCTTAGATGGGTAACTCTCCATGATGTCACTTCCCCTAATAATAGCGCTGATGCTGAGCCTGGTCCCCCAGTTTCAAAAGGCTTCAATGTTACCTAACCTGTAGTTCTGAAAGTCTAGGAGCAAATTCATTCACTGAACATCACCCACCCCAGTACACTGCAGCCCATCTGAGCCCATCACTCTATATGGAAGGCCAGGGTCACTTAAAATACCACCTGACCTTGTGTGTCCTGGGCACTCACTCTCCATTGGCACCTCCCACAGTTCCTCAAACAGCACCCCAAGGCTGACTTGTTAGGACAGCACTGGCTGTGTCTGCAGCCTCAGTATGAATGACCCCTCATTCTCCCAAGACCACGTGGGGCGCCAGGCCTGGAGGACTTCCTTAAAGTGCTGGCATGCTGCAGATATAGCTTTCCTGGACATGACTGTCCTCAGTCACCTCCTAATGGTTGGATCCACATGACAATGGCTAAGGTGAGCAGCTATAAGGCAGACTGAGCAACTTGCAGAGCAGCAACCTCATCAGCCCAGCCCTGCCTACAGCCTGCTCTCCAGCCTGGAAGCAGATCTCCACCTGCCAGCTGGGAAAGGGGTGTGAGAGGGAGACCCCAAAGTCCATATGTTATTCTATTCCATTGAGGGAAGAGGGCCTTGCACTAGGGGAAAGGCTCAGCCATTGCCTTAAGCTGTCTCACTCAGACTGGGAGCAGGAGGGCGACACTCACAAGACAGCAGCCTGTACTGCACAGGAGGCAGCTAAGCAGATACACTTGGGGTCTTACCCCAGCACCATGGTCTGTTCTGTGCTCACAAGAGCAGCCATTCTCAACCCAGGCGTGCTTCAGAGTTACAATGCAGGGCTGGGAACCAGAAGCAGAGGAACTACAGACCCAGGGGCTCTGGAAACACCAAAGTCAGTTGAAAAAACTCCACTCATCTCTGCGGTTAAGGTGGCTTTTTGGTAGGCTGGCATACGGAACTGTGAGAAGTGATTGAGGAGCATGTACAGCCACACTAGGAGGGCACTAAGTACTCTCCAATAATCTCCTAGCAGCTGTGTGTCACCGACTCTCCATTCCAGACTCAGCCTCATCAGGAACAAGGCTCTGCAGCCTTAACCTAGCAGTCAGTGCTCAGAGGGAAAAACAGCAAGGCCACTGTGTGCTCTACCTGCACTGCTCACCTCACAGTTAATTCCCATGTAAATGTAGCGAGGACTTCAGAGACTCCTTCCCAGGCTCCTCCCAGAATACAGCTATTAGAACAAGAATGCTCAGAAAGAGGGTGACCCACATAAAAAGACCTCTGCACACTTCCTTAGAAGGCAGAGGAAACATGGCCAAAGAGATTGGTTCCTCTGTCTTCGCTATCTCAGCTCTTCAGTTTCAAGGTACTTTTGAAATATATTATTTTATTTCATTATTTCCTGGAATAGGTAACACAGAAAGTGAAGCAAATTTAAACAATAAAAGCACAGAGGTAAATGGCATGTGTGTGTCCCCTGCCCTGGTCTCCTGGGAGCAGCCCTTTTTTGTTCTGAGTGGTATCTCTTTTAAGCTACTAACTGTACACAGGGTGAATGAGAGGGAGAGGGAGGGAGAAGAGGGAGAGGGAGGAGAGGGAGAGGGGGAGGAGAGGGGGAGGGGGAGGAAGGAGAGAGGGAGGGGGAGGAGAGGGAGGAGAAGGAGAGGGACAGGGGAAAGGAGAGGGAAGGGGGAGGGAGAGGGACTTAAATACACACTACTATTTTACTTGTTTACAAATGGAAAATATGCCCCATGCTGCCTCCTGCTTCTCATGCCAATTGTTGAGCTTCTCCATGCTGCTTCATAGAGATTAGCCCCAACATTCTGAAACAAGGCCTGGCAACAGTCAGGCCCTTCCTGTCTGTGGCTCTGGGAGGGGTGTTGCATGGGCCCCTGCATCCCTAATGGACAGATCTGGGGACTAGCCTGTGGCAGTTTCTTGGACACTGCTTTAAGTTTTTCTTTTTCTTGTGGTCCTGGGGATGAACCCCAGGGCTTTGAGCACATTGAGTAAGTGCCCCCCGCTGAGCCACACCTCAGCCTTCTAATCTACACTTCTGGATGTTAACCCCATCGTTCAGCCACAGCATAGGAAGGGCCTACTGTCCCAAACACAAGGCTGTGAGCTTTTCTCCTTAATGGGCACCTGACCAGAAATGAACAGTCACCTTCCCGTCACTGACATGAGGGCCAGGCCCTGGGTCTGCCATAAGTAACACTGTTTTCTCAGACATGCATATCTGTTGGGGGACTATGAAGGTGAGGAACACAGGCTTCGGGGCCTGGTTCTTGGTTCACCCCTCTCTAGCTAGGTACAAAGACATAAATAGACTCAAGTACCAAGTGCCTCAAGGAGCCTGGCACACGCTGATCCCCAAAGCCAACATGAGCAGGAGGAGGAAGTTCCACAGAACCATCCCAGGCAACTTAAAGCTAACCACACCTGCAAAGTGTGGCTGAACGGTCCACACTTCCACTGCAGCCTGACCCACTTTCCCTCTCTACTGTCACACACATCCATTCTTGTCCCTCCCGAGTGGCCTGGGCTGGCTTCTTGGATAGCACAGTTAGACAGTTTTGTGCCTGTCCTTGATGGTTTCCTTGATTGTAAAACCTTAGAAAGTGCCAGAGACACATCTACTGCCCAAAAGAACACAGGTGATTTTAGGATGGGCAGCAGAAACTTTACTGTCTTCAACTGCTCTCCTCTCACAGCTCAGCTGAGGGTCAAGGCCGTCATGAGTGTGCTTGAGTGCCAGGACAGTGTCCTCCCACCCCAGTAAGACACCCTGCTGTGTCCTGCATTTTGACCTTAACCACAATAGGTTCCTTATGAGTTGGAACCAAATGTGGTCCCTAAATTGTTTTTTCCGTGATGGGGAAACTGCGTATGGGACGATCCATCAAAAGTACCAGAGGTCCAGAAGAGAGACACCAACTACAAATGACCCCCTAGACAGCAGCACTGTCCCAGAGAGCCTAGTCTTGGAAGGACTTCTCAGGAGTCATGAAAGGGCGTCAAGCACAAAGACTGCACTCAAGAGCAAGACTAGCCAATGGGCACTGTGACACCATACATTTTGAACAGGATTGTGTTTTCACGATTACAGGGGTCCCATCTAAAACAGGTGTCCCCAGACATCATTAGAACTGTGCGGGGTCATGAGGCCCACCTCCTTTTTGGGGACTGTGAGGGCAGACTACTATGAGGTGTCCAAGATTATTCTAAAGCTTTGCTTCTGTTCCAATACACTGACCCCTGCTCTTCATCTTGTGAAATCACTGGCCCTTCCCTAGGCCACACAGGGAAGACCAGAGGACACAGAGCATACAAACAGGCTATACTGAACTCACTATGTAAACCATCAGGTTGGCTCTGAACTCACAGATCCACCTGCCTCTATTTCATGAGTCCATGTATCATCACACCTAGTACCAACTGCATTTTTTGAAGGCAGCTCTGCCTTCATTCTGCTGTCTGTGCTGAGCAATAGGTGGCATAGTCATCTCTCAGACACTGTCTGCACACCAGGGATACCTAACCCTTCTTAACCTTGTCTAGGCCAAGGGCACAGAGATTAGAGTCACCTGTCTGCTTTAATAACCTATTTCAGACTCCAAGAAGGTGTCTCAAAGCCACTGTCCTAGGCCCACAGCCACC